TGCAGTGACGTGCACACACGGGTGCTAGGCACGTGCCTGCGCCGACCTGCACGCACAGGTCCTGACCACTGGAAGGCCCCAATGCCATGACATGACAAACAGGGGAAAGCCTAGAGCCCAGACCTTAATTTTAAGGCACCCCGTCTCTACATGGAGCCTCCACTCCTTGGGGAAGCACGTGGTTCCACCGTGGAGGGAGAACACCCAGCAGGTGTAGAGCCACCTGTGGCACCAGGAGGTAGGGAACATTGGAAACGAAGGTAGGGCCTCTCCTAGGAGCTCAGGCCCTCCGAGGGCCCCCTAGCGGCCCATGGTGAGACAGCATGAGAAACGGAACACGCCGCGTCCCATTATAACCTATAGAGTTAACATTCTTGAACCCAACCGTGCATCAACAAATACATAATAGAGACAATGATAGCTCCACTTTCTACAGACCAAGCATGCCTGATCTCAAAGACCAGAATGTTGTAAAACCCAACAGTATCTTAAGTATCAATGTGATGCTGCAAACGGAAAATCCTGCTTCTGACCTCCCATGCAGGTGGCTGTTAAAAACAGGTGGATGCGACAAGCATAAAGGCATAACAGGCCAATTTTCTGCCTGCAGTGCCAGCATCCTATACGGGCACTGGTTAGAGCTCTGGCTGCTCCACTTTCCATTCGGCTCCCTGCTTGTAGCCTGGGGAAGCAGTAGAGGACCAGGTCCTTTGGATCCCAGCACCCATGTGGGAGACCCAGAAGGAAGCTTCTGGCTTCAGATCAGTCAGCTCCGGCCACCGCGGCCATTTGGGGAGTGAATCAGTGACGGAGGATCTCTGACTCTCCTCTCTCTGCAAAGTCTGCCTTTAAATAAAAATTTAAAAATTTAAAAAAAAAACACACAAGTAGAGTAAAAATGCGGAATGAAATTACCTCTCCTCTCCCCAAATCTAAATCCCCTCTAGTCCTACACATGCCAGGTGAGGGATATTCAACCTGTGCAAAAACCACATGATACCCGTGCACGAGAGGAGGGTCCCCCGAGGGGCCAGGGAGCGCCACAGCAGCGCCAGGAGCCGCTCCGGCTTCCACGCCAGTGAGCAGTGGCCACAAACTACTGGCGTGGCCTCCGACTTCCGTGCCCAGCATATTTGTCTCTTTGAAAGTATTTATTTTTATTGAAAAGGCAGATTTATGGAGAAAAGCAGGGACAGAGAGAAAGATTTTCCATCCACTGGTTCATTCCCCAAGTGGCCACAACGGGCAAAGCTGAGCCCATCCGGAGCCAGGATCCAGGAGCTTCCTCCAGGCCTCCCACACAGGTGCAGGGTCCCAAGGCTCTGGGACCTCGACTGCTTTCCCAGGCCACAAGCAGGGAGCTGGATGGGAAGTGAAGCAGCTGGGACACAAACCAGCACCCATATGGAATCCCAGTGTGTGCAAGGCAAGGACGTTAGCCATTAGGCTACTGCACTGGGTCCCCAGCATACTTGTCAACAAGACAAACGGAATGACCTGACAGAGAAGCCGTGGTCCCCACACAATCAGCAGCCCCAACGACGACACCTGCAGAGACCACCAACCTGGCCTGCCGCCGGACGCTGCTTCATTCCTGTGACATTCCCGCCACAGAGTGACAGACATTCCTCAAGTCCCAGAGTAACAGCAGTGAGCGCTGGGAGACTCCTAGGAAGGGAAAACTCCCGGATAACTATCGCCCAGAGAAGTCCACCAGCTGGCCAGGGTTCCAGGTTAAAATCACTGAGAAACAGCACTGAGCCAATTATCAATTCCAGAGGGAAAAAAAAGCTCTGCAAGAAAATAAAAGTAGCCACAGCTCAGCACCCTGCCGTGCGGGAGCGGAATAAGGAGCTGGGGTGAACAAGGCCCAGGTGGGGCTCTGCTGGGCGGGGCAAACGTGAAGGACAGAAACAGAGGACCAATGGCAAGCAGGGAAAATTAACACTCACGGTGGACACCTGAAAGGAGGCAGTAACCTCGGTTCGATTCAGGAGCACGCAGGAGTGTAGACAGTAAAGCCAAGTGTTAAGGGGGCCTCTGGGCTCAGCAGTGCGGGGACACTGCCCCCCACACGGCCGTGGAATCCTGGCCACTTCACCACACTACCGTCAGGGCGGATATCACACACATCAATGTGACTTGAGTAGGAAAACACGTACATGAAGCAGCGGCCAGATCTCCAGGAGAACACGCAGTTTTAAACGGAAAGCTTTAGGTGCCGGTCCCGGCATGGAGGATGAGCCACCAGCGAGTGTCTGAACTTGAGTTCCACCCCCACCTCCAACCTAGCTTCCTGCTAAGGTGCACCCCGCCCCCCAGGCAGCAGTGACGGCCCAAGGGCAGCCTTCCAAGAGGCTCACCTGGATGGCGCCCGGAGCCCTGGCCACTGCTGCCAGCTGAGAAGTGGACCAGCAGATGGGAGCTAGCTCCCTTCACCTCTCCTTTTATCTGATGCTCCATCTTTAAAGCAGATGAAGACAAGCAGAAAGGGGGCTCCTCTGGAGGACAGGCTAGGCAGCACAGGGTCCAGGACTGAGCCCGCCGGCGGCCAGCACAGGGGACCCTGGGAACAGAGACGCTAGAGGCGCAGAGCCGGGTAGAAGGTGCACAGGGCAGCCTTCGTCCCCCGAGTTTCCCAACCCCACGGGGCTGGGCAAGAGCACCCGGTGGTGCCAGAGGGCAGCGTGGGCGAACCCCAAGGAGAGTCCGAGGGCACGGATGCTGGGGGACAGGGAGGCGAGGCAGGGAGGGGACATGGCCGACTGGGCCTCGCTGAGACCCGTGGAGAACTCACTTTCTCATACCGGCCCGCTCGGGTGTGCCAGAGGGCAGCGTGGGCGAACCCCAAGGAGAGTCCGAGGGCACGGATGCTGGGGGACAGGGAGGCGAGGCAGGAAGGAGACACGGCCGGCTGGGCCGGTGGAGAACTCCCGCTCTGACTCGCCTCTTTCAAAATCCCCGGCCAGCGCGGCCTTCCTGAGGCCGAAGACGGAGTAAGCGACTTGGCTGTACTTACGAGGACACCTCGCCCGTCTTCCTCCTCCTGGGTGGATCTCCTGGCCTGTCCCACTGAGGCTAGGAGTCCAGGGAAGGTTCGAGAAGGCAGCGGCGGCTTTCCCGGGCCTCGACGTGGGCCTTGGCCCCGGGAGTGCGCAGGCGCAGCTCACACATGCGAGAGCGCTTGCCTGCAGCTCACACATGCGAGAGCGCGTGCCCGTAGCTCACACCTGTGGCTGCGGATAGGGGCGAGATGCGGGCCACGTGTGCCGAGCCCCGAGCGGTGCCGTTCTGCTTTAGCTAATTACAGCACTCCGGGGTGTGCTTGGAACCTAGCTCACAATCAAGAAAAAACCTCGGGGCGCGCCTGACCGCGCGTGGGGAAGCCGGCAGCCCCCCACCACCAACAACGCTCTCTTTAGGGATTGCCCACCCCACAAGGCCGGGTGCGGAGCGGGACGCGCACGTGCGCCTGGGCTGCGCGCCGGAGCGCACAGGTGCCCGGGATCCCGCCCGGGTGCGCACGAGTTCCGCAGGCCCCTGCCTTGTGTGGCGCGGCCGCCGACCACTTCCACCTTCCCCGCCCCCTCGCAGCTTCCCGGACAGCCCGGTAGACAGCATCAGCCTGGCCACCGCCAAAGGAGGCCGCAGAGGAGGGCCCAGGCCCACGGAGGCTGCTTATCTGCCCATCAACTCTTATATAAGGCAGCACCCCTATCTCTGGGGCCATCAACGCTCCCACCCGGCTCCCACGCGCGGGCCCCAACTCCCCGCGGGCCTTGTGCTGGTCATGGGGAACAGGGGACAGCTGACTCATCCCCGCGGGGGGCCCCGGGACTTGGACCAGAACATGGTGGTCCCCGCTCCTTCCCTGCCCCCACCCCCAGCCCGTGGGAAATGTCCCTGGCCTGTTCTATCAATGAAGAGTTGAGGCCCACGCGGGTGGGCAGGACGGGTCACCTGGCCAGGCCCCTGGGTCGGGCTGGACCCGTCCAAGTGAGGCTGGGGATTGGTTCCCACTGGGCAAGGCAGCAGTGAGGGCTGTGTGTCCTTTGCCCTGCGGAGCCTTAGGGAAGCCTGTGCGGGAGGCTTAGCACATGGAGCGGGGTCTGGACAGGGGAGGAAGTGGGTAGGAGAGATCCTAACGTCAGCCATTCTGGGGCAGGGAGGAAAAAGCAGGAAGCAGTGTGCAAGCTGTCCCCTGTGCCTGACTGGCCCTGCCCCAGCCCTCCATCCTTACGCGGGGGGAGGGGGGAGCGTGAAGGGGGTCTCCCAAAGGCAGGAGCTGGTCCCTCAGAGGTTGATGGGTACAGGCAATGGGGGGCGGGGCACCGTTCTGGTGGCCAGAAAGTTATACACTGGCCCCAGGGCTCAGCCAGCCAGCCTGGCAAGGATCCATGCTGCCTGGGGTCAGCTCTGTCATCCAAGCCACCATGCTAACACCAGGTTCCTAAAGGAGACGTGGGAATGCACCTGTCAGAATCCTTCCCACAAGGGTACCGCGTGGGCCGAGAGCTGTGCACTGCCTTGCTCTGCTTGTGTCCAAAGCAGATGTCACTCTGGTGATCTTTGAACCCAGTTCACTGGATAGCTCAACCCTCCCTCCTCCATCGCTTCCTGTCCATGGCTGACCAGCAGTGGCAGCAGTCATGTGCCACCATGCTCATGGCCGAGGAGCAAACCCAGGTGAATGCAGCCACTGCTCAGGGCAGCGCTCCGGCCCTCCTGCTTCTGGGATCCAGCCCAGCCCAATGGTGGAAACTGCATGGGAGACTTCATGATAAGTCCATGCGAAATCAAACTCTTTCCTTTATACCATGCTGGATTTTCCACAGTCAGAAAAAAAAAAAAAGAGTAAAGATGTGGTTTTTAGATATGCCCGACAGCGGAGACCAGGGTGGTGGTGCGTCACAAACAGGCCTATAAAAGCTGCCACTGGAGACCAGGACCACAAGCCACTCAGCTGGGCCATTCACACATCTGCTCCTGACCCCCTTGTGTTGCTCTGGGTCCCATGGCGCTCTGGTGGACTCTGGCCATTGCTGTCACCTGCCTCAGCGGCCTCACATCTCCGGGCCCCGTGCCTTCCACCACGGACCTCAGGGAACTGATTTCGGAGCTGCGTAACATCTCACAGAACCAGGTGAGCAAAGGCTGGCCAGGGTCCTGCCTGCTGGGGTGTGGGGTGGGTTGCCCTCATCAAGAAGTCTTGAGCAAGCTGGGCCTGATCCTGAGTGCTTGTGGATCAGGGAGATGCCTCGTGGGCTAGAGTCAGGCCCAGCCATGGCAAAGCACCAGGTGTCAGCAGTGTGGGAGCTGTGGGGGCCTGGTAGAAGCATCAGGTACCAACTGTCCCCTGGCCCAGCCTGCCCTCTCACCACCAGCCCCTCCTTGGCCTCTGCCAAGGAGCTGGGAGCTGAGAAGGGCCAGCACACACCTGGATCCACAGGCATTTGCCAGTGACCCGACCACTGTCCACATAGCTTGGCTGAGCCCCTTCTATTGTGGGACTGGGTTGAGGAGTAGGCTCTCGTTCTTACTGGCAACAGTTCAGGGTGGGCAGGGCGTGCTGCCAGGATTGCACCGGGCGTTCTGCATGTCATCTCCAGCAGCAGGTACAATGCCCTGCCTTACTGAGATTTAGTGAGACTGAGTGCCAGGTTCAAGCCAGACCTGGCCAGAGTACCCCTGCTGCTACTGGTGCAAGGTCCCCCACCTCCGAGGCCAGGGTGTTTACTGTACCCAACGCTCCCTCCCCCACAAACCTGCCAGCCCATCAGTCCTGCTCAACAGCAGCCTGAGCTGCCCCCACCACAGCTGTGTCACGGTCCTCCCCTCCCTGCCCCTACCAGTGGCTACACAGGGTGGGAGATGCAAGCAGAGCTGCTCTGGGGTGCCCAAGAGGGAGCCTCCCCAAACTCCACCCCCACCAGCACTGGGCTTACCATCACTCTGTCTCCTCAGGCCCCGCTCTGCAATGGGACCATGGTGTGGAGTGTCAACTTCACGACCGGCGTGGTAAGGACCCTTGTACCCCATGGGGTGGGGGCTGCAGCAGACTTCCAGGGCCCTTCTGTGCCCTTGCCACCTGGGCTCCCCACCCCTGCCCACCTCGGGGCCTGACGCCGAGCTCTGTCTTCTCATAGTACTGCGCAGCCCTGGACTCGCTCATCAACATCTCCGGCTGCCATGCCATCCACAAGACTCAGCGGATGCTGAGTGGACTCTGTCCAGACAAGGCCATGGCCAAGGTGAGGCCCTACCCAGCATCTCAGCCTCACTCACTACTGGCTCCTGCCAGCCTTGGTCCACTGTGGCAGCAGGCCAGCGGGGGTAGGTGGGGGGGGTGGGTGGTGGTGGAATTTCTCAGGATCAAGGCTCCAGGGCCCTTACCTCCTACCTGGGTCTGTTTCCACATCTGTCACACCTGGGTCATCCCACCCCCTGGGGACTGGTGTGGGCTATAAGAGACAGATCTGGCACTGACTGACACACTGGCTTCTCTGTCCCTCCACTTGCAGTATGTCTCCAGCTTGCAAGCCCGGGACACCAAGGTGGAGCTGGCCACGTTTGTGAATGATCTGCGCAAATACTTACAGTACCTGTACCGCTATCCCACCCTCGACAAGCACCACTGATGTGTGCGGGGCCAGCCCCAGGCACAGCAGCTGCCACTTCATCTGCCTTTTGGCTGTCGGGGTGTCCCTGGGGAAGGGGGTAGGGGAAGGGAGAGGGAGCAGTAAGAATTCCTAGTTTAGACCTCATCTGTGCTGCCTGCCTTCAGCCCAGGCTCTGAGCAAGGGGGACAAGGGGACCACGCCCCTGCTTGGAGCAGTGGCATCCCACAGGGTGCCATCCTTGCCAGGCATGGGCTGGGAGAGGGGCCTGGTTCCCACAGGGCTGGGGGCAGTATAGCACAGGGACTGGTCTCCTCCATCTTATTTATTATTGTATGTTATTTAAACGTGTCTGTTGGGTTGGGACTGGGAGGCTGGTGCTGCCAGGGGACTTGGGGCTGCAGTGCTAAAAGCCCCATTCGTATGTACTGTGCACACAACTCTGCTACCTCACTGGTCCTGGGGCCTCTGGGCCTCAGCCAAAGCCAGGGACAGGAGAGAGCCTGGGAGCCGCTCCCGTCTGCCAGCCAGCACCCAAAGAGTAATTTATTCTAGAATTGCCTTGTATTTAAAGTATTTAGCATGCTAGTGCAAAGTGTGTAACATATACTGATGTGCAGCCCGGACATGGAAGGGGGCTGTGGTTGGAGGGGAGGGGTCACTGTTTCAAACTGGAAGCCAGAAATAAAAAGGATGACAAAGATCGGATCTCTCGTCTGTGGTTTGGGGCACTGGGGTCTCCCAACTGGGAGGGGCCCTGTGGGAGGTGGCCTAGCTATGGGAGGGGCAGGGAGGAATGCGACCTGGGCCACACGCCTTCCAGCTCTGGGGACCAAGATGTGGCCTGAGGGGGCCACCACCTGCCCACAGTGAAGAGGAGGAGGAAGAGGCCACATCACCAGCAAGGCTGGCACTGCACACACGTGTTGCCACATCTCCCTCTTACCTGAACAGGTTCAGAGGGGGCAGATGGTTCACCTAAGGACACACACAGTTGGGAAGAAGCAAAGCCAAGACCTGAGCCCCCGAACCACTACAACTCAAAGCCTGCACTCTGGCCCGCTGGACACACTGCTCCCTTCGAGTACCCATCGCCGGCTCCTGGGCCTCTGACACAGAGCGTGTGCAGCTCTGAGCCCTTCAATGGGAGCACTCAGTGTTGGACAGGGTACATGGGTGGGTGGGCGGTGCCTGTGCCTCAGGGTGCAGTGGAGGGCAAGGCCTGGGATCCTGGCAAGACCACTCCTCATCACAGTGCTCACATCTCCTGGGGGGGCCTGGCCAGATGTGGGAACGCTGAACCAGCAGGTCTGGGCACACCATTCCTTCAATCTCTGGTTCCAGAAAGACAAGGTACCTGCAAGGGTCATCAGACAGGTGTCCTCTGGGACACCCCCAGTGATGCCGAGGTGTCCATGCGGACAGCCAGGGCTCACGGCTGTGTCACTCAGGCCACAGCGGAGGACTGGGCAGCTGCCAACTGTGGGCAATGGCTCAGGGACTGCTCACGTCCACCCAGGGGAGAAACCAGGAGGAGCAGGATGGGTGACAGTGGTGCCAGGCCTAGGGCCTGTGAGTCTCCACAGGCTGTACAGGACGGGGACAGGATAGGCCTCTGGGTGCCAGGGTCATCAAAGGATTTGAGAAGTCCCCTCTGCATCTGCTGTGACCACCTGACACTGTACCAGGCAGCCCCCCAGGCTTGCGTCAGCCTGGCAGGACACACATACCAGGTTTAGCATGAGAGGAATTTTTTTTTTTTAAATGCAGAGTCTGCAGGAGTGAGGCCCACTCTCTGGAGGTGAGCAGGGGCTGCCTGCTGGGGCAGAAGAGTCAGCGTCCATCCTGGCCACAGGACTCAGGACTCTAGGAGTTCAAGGCTAGAAGGATACTTATGGAAGAGCAATGATGCTTTTTAAGAACTTAGTGACGCGCCCACCACTACTGTCATTTGAAAAGCACAGAGACAGGGTGCACATGCTCTCATAGACTAGTTCGCTCCCCAAATACCCACAGTGGAGCTGGCAACTCGATTCCAGGTCTCTCCTGCAATGGAGAGCCGCCGGCTCTGCCTCCCGGGGTCCACGCTGGCAGGCAGGGTACCGAGCCCAGGCACTGGCACTTGGCACACAGGCATCCTCAACTGCTAGGCCAAATGCCAGGCTCTGCATCATCTTTAAACGGAGTTCAGCCTGCCTAACCAATGAGCTGGCCTGCCCATCCAATACCAAGGTGGAGAGCCTCCTCGGGCACCTCCTGGGGCCCGCCTCCGGAGCTGAGGCGAGGGGAGGGTGCCCGTGGGTGGAGCGGGTGGGGGCGCTCCCTTGGGAGCCAGTCCTGCAGCCACCCACAGCCACACCAGCCCACAGGCTGTCCCAGGCCCTACCGCTAGGGGGCGGCCGCTCACCACATCCTCGGCCGCAAGCACGCAAGGCAGCCGCGGTCGCTGCCTGCCAACAAGGTGGCCGACCAAGTCCCCCGAGCAGGGTCCCTGCGGTCACAGGCGCCGCGTGGGGAGCCAGGCTGCCTCTGCTGGCGACAGGGAGTGAGCAGAGACCGAGCAGAAGGGATGCGTCAGCCGCTGCCCCTGGCAGCGTGGCCTCCCTGGGGCTGAGCCGGGGGTATTTGCCGGGAGTTTTCTCTAACCACACGGCTGCCTTCTTTCCTGCACGAGGCAGGCCCCACGCAGGAGCCGGAGGCAGAGGGCTGGTTAGCAAGGGACTAGAGTGCCCGGTGATGGGAGAGCCGTGCTGGTCGTGGGGCCCCGGGGGTGGCTTTGCTGCAAGAGGGACTGCGGCTTAAGTGAGAAGCGAGAGACGCACGGGTTTCCGGTGCACTTGGCACCACGCGCAGGCGGCTGCAGCTCTGAGAAGGTGTCTGCAGACAGCCCAGGTCACTTGGGGGTTCTCCTAGGCCGGCCCCTGAGCTGCTTGGGAGAAGGCGGAGCTGGGATGGGAGACAGGCCTGTATGTCTTCCCTGTGACGGGCTGGCATTGCTCCAGCTTAGCTCAGTCTCCACAAAGCCAGCCAAGGGTGGCCAGCCACTGAGCTGAGCCCATCCCCTCTGGGCTGAGTCAGTCCCTTGCCGTGCCCTCTAAGGCAGCTGGCACTGCCATCTGGGCAGCCTGGCTGGGTCCAAGAGGTGCCCGCAGCTGGTAGGACCGGGGGCTGTGTCCTGGCCACCTCCCACCCTCCGGTGTTCTCCTGCTCCGATCCAACAGTCACAGGCTCTGCCTGTCTTCATTCATTTCTCGGCTCCACCCAAAGGCAGCAGGCAAATGGTGTGCAACGACTCTCCCAGATCAACTGATTTCTCAGCAAGGGAGGGCCCCGTGACGAAGCCATTCGAAATCCCAGAAGCGATTTTCTACTTACGACCTCACTTTCTGTTGTTCTGCCCCTTCCCTCACAGGCCTTCTCTGTGGAAAGTGACTCTCAGAGAGGCTCGCCAACGCCCCCAGCCCTGTGCTGTGGGGCAGACGCAGCGGCGCGGCCACAGGTGACGCAGGCAACACAATTAAATTTAGCAACTCTCGTCAGCTCTGCTCTCCGAATGGTGACAGCTCTTCCCGAAACCCCGGTGGGGAAGGAGGCCTGGGCCTCAGGGTGCTGGATGCCCCGCTGCCCAGAGGCCCTTTCCCGGCCCAGGGCCTGCCCGGGGGGAGCTGCAGGGACACCAGGCCAGAAAAGGCAACTTGTCACAGATGCACCCCCCGCTTGCCATGGTTTCTACAATGAGCATGCATTCATTCCCACTGCAAGACAAACACATACTTTTGTAAAAAGCGAAAAGAACCCGAGTTAGTGTCTGGCCCATGGTGGGGGCTGATGGTGGGGTTGGTGAAGGAGCCTACAAGTGCGGCACAGGCCCCAGGCAGAAGATGGGGGCCTGCAGAGGCCTGGGCAAGAGGCCTTGCCCCTCACTGCCCTGGCACAGGCCAGCTCTTCTTGGGCCCCTCAGGGTTCACAATGGTGGCGAGGGGGAAGGACTGACTGTACTGGGGTCTTCATGTGGCTTGACTAGGATGGACACTGCGGTCCAGCTCTGAGGCTGAGGAGACACCAATGCCCCGGGCACAAGGGCTGGTGCTCAGGTGCAGCACGTTAAACCTCCCACCTGGATGCCAGTTCAAGACCTGACTGTTCCACTTCCAGTTTGGCTCCCTCCTGACTTGCCTGGGAAAGCAGCGACGGATGGCACAAGTGCCTTACAGGAGACCTGGAAGAAGCTCCAGGTTCCTGGCTCCTGTCAGACCCAGCCCAGCTCCAGCCACTGTGATTATCTTGGGTGATGGTCACATCTACCTGCAGATGGAAGATCCTCTGCCAATTCTGACTTTTGAATAAATGAATTAATCTTTAAAAAAAATAAAAACATACTCCGGGGGCAGGTGGAGGGTTCTGGTGCACCCACAATTAGCTCTTGGATCTCCTGGGGAAAGGCTCCTCCCACTGCCACTGTGTCTCCCCTACCCCACATACCCTGCGACCCTGGTTCCCACCTCTTGCCATTCTCTGTGCCCCGAGACAGAGGCAGAAAGTACAGCCTGGGAGAGAAGGGGTGGTGACAAAGGTGCCAGGGTTACACAGCCCTGATTCAGCCCCAGTTGTGTCCCCCACTTCCACTGCTATCACTCAGGCTGAGGGGCAGCCAGCCCTCTGTGAACTGGAGCCATGCTGAGGCACTCAGCAGGTACAGGACGTCTGTGAGTTCTGCCTTTGGGGAGCCAGCCAACCAGACAAAGAAAACAGATACATTTAAAATTGCACCTAAGCTGAACTTGTGCAGTTACTTTTCCTACCATTATTCCCTATGTAATTTAGCCAAACAGCAATTTACACAGGACTGACCTTACACTCAGTGTTACCAGTCATCCAGACATGACTTAAAGTATATGAAAGAGCTGGCTTTGGCTCAGGCAAAAGTATTGATGGTTCAAATACCTGGGAGACTTGGGGTGCGTCCTGGGCTCCTAGCTTCTTCCCAGCCTGGTCCAGCTGCAGGCCTTCCCAGGAGTAAGTCTCCTGGGGCACTCTCCTTGCTTCTCAAAATAAGTTTAAAAATTTTTAATGATGAAGTATAGGGGAGATTGAGCTTATATGCAAGTACTATGCTATTTTATACAAGGGGTCCACAGTTTGGTACCCCACGATCCTCGACACCAAGGGACAAGGAAGGAAACGGGGAGCCAGACACTGTCCACGTGCTGTGGATCCACAGGGAACAAACGCAGGGCGCGTGCAGCACG